AGGAAAATGTCACCTCTTTGCTTTTTCCCCTGAAAGGATCTATGATTCAAGGGCAAATCTACCTCTGATATACTACATCTACTTCTGCTCTGTTGGCCTATTAATTTCTGTATCCTTGGCTAAGGGGTAAATCTGAAACTTAGAGAAGGAACTTTATGTTTGTGTGTGATTTCCTTCTGCCAACCAATAACCCACCCACAACTGGAAACTGTACTCTTTACGTGAGATAGGACAAGGATTTAGGAATTTATGTTACAGCTTAAAGTTAGTTAATCTATAAACATATATTAACATTTCATAAATCATAAACTGTATATAAATGCTCCTCTCTCCATGTTTCTAAGGACTAGACAATAGGAGAAACATATATATCAGGGATGTATATAGTCTGTACCATCTGTAAGTACAACATACTTATGTTAAGATGCATGATCCTGGGTTATTTACTGAATTATAAGGCCTTGTTAGACTATGAGAGATTAGAGATAGTGCTAGGACATGATTTACATACCTGGCTACCTGGCTTTGCACATTATAAGAATTTATTATCATGTCTGAGTATGTATATAAAAAGTAGCTCTGGTGGCTCAGTGCCTAATGGATTTGATTTCTAATTGGAAGGAAGGAGGTTCAAACCCACCAGCTGTTCCATGGAAAGAAGATGGGGTAATCTACTTCTGTAAAGATTTACCGCCTTGGATACATAATGGGGGTCACTATGAGTGAGAATCAACTCAATGGCAGTGGGTTTGGGTTTTTATTTTTATTTATTTGCTTAATGTGTATAAAAGCAAGGCAGGGCTGGGCTTATCTCCAATGATCAAGTCTGTAATGTAGTATCTGTGGTACAAATAAGAATGTTCATTTATCCTAGGGAGATAGAGAAACCCTATTTCAAAAAGCCCTTTAGCATATATAGCAATCAAGAACAATGAATTGATCTAAGATGGAAGAAGTTATCTATCCTTTTTAGTTTCCTATAAAACAACAGTCAGTGAACTCCAGAAACAGCTGAAAGAGCATTGGAGGAGGAGTATTAGATACTGCCTATAATTCAGTAGGCATAGAGTAGGCTTAGTTCAATTTAGCTATTAACTAAAGTCAGGGAAGAGTATTGGTATTCGAATTAGTATTAATATTAGAAATCCAAGGAAATACTGCCAATGAGGCTTACAGGAGCCACTGTTGTTGTTGTTGTTGTTATGTGCCGTCGAGTCGGACACAACTCATAGCGACCCCTCCTTGG